ATAAAATGATGTATTTGTATTATTTTAAAATATACATTTTTTTAATGATTTCAATTCACTGTTTTACTTGATGCAGCAAAAAAGATCAAATGATTTGATATTTTAAATAACTTCCTGACATGCAGTCACAAGACTCTACATAAGACTCTGTGATGTAATTTCCTGTTTCCTGATTTGCTTGTCACATGACAACAAAAACGGACAAAAATGTAATCCTATTATTATTTTTAAAAAGACTGTCAGCTTTGATTTGAAATTGAAAAGAAGTGCATTCAGAGATTGTGTTTTTGAGTCAATTGACCCTGAAGTCAGTTTTGCTGTTTTTGAATGACATTTCAGCGTCGGACCCGTACGTCATCATCAGCTGTGAGGGACAGAAGGTTCGTTCGCTGGTGCACAAAAACACACAGAGCCCAGACTTTGACGTGAAGGCGGTTTTCTACAGGAAGAAGCTGAAAGAGCCGATCCGCATTCAGGTGCCGGTCTTTTAGCAATCGTTAGGAATGGATTCGGTCGTGCTTCCTCCTGTAATCTGCCTCCTTCTCTCACCTCTTTGTCAATCAGATCTACAACCAGAACATTCTGAAGGACTCGTTCATGGGTCAGGCGACCTTAAGCGGCGACCTGTCCGACCTGCAGCATCTTCACACCCTTCGCCTGCGCGACAAAGGAAACCGGCAGAACAGCGACCTCCCGGGTCTGGTCTCGGTGAGCCTCACGACCAGCGACGTCCTGACCAACATCTGAGCACGTCGCGGTGACTATAGAGGGTTTACAGCACCTCCTGTGTCTGTGGAAAATCACAGAGTATTACACTTATATTTACATGCTCTTTCTCTTTATGTAGTCCTTTGGGAATGTTTCTTGGAAGTAGATTTACTTGTTTACAAGCACTTTTTTCAACTTAAAGGGATAGTTCAGTCAAAAATGAAAATCATTTACTCACCCTCAAGTTGTTTCGTTCTTCTGTTGAAGATACCTCAGCAAATAAATAGTTGACGGTAGCCATTGACTTCCATAGTAGGGGGAAATAATACTATGGAAGTCAATGGCTACCATTGCCAACATTATTCAGAATATCTTCTTTTGTATCAAGATATCGTAAGACATGCATTTAAATCAGTATATGAAATAACATGCAGTATATGCATATATCTAATACCACTATCTACTATTCAAATATGTAGTTAGGAATTTCAATTTTATTATCATAATTTGACCTTTCATTTGCCAAACAATCTGAAACGGAGGGCAAAGGGTTCTTGTGTTTAGTCTCTCTGTTGTGTTTTCTCTTTCAAATATTTGCCATAATCTTGACGACATGTTGATTTTTATGAATCACTTTATCAAGCTTTTGTGAAAGGAAACATTTCTACAAATGATGTGGTGTTTTATCTATTGTTTTCATCTGTTTACCAGAATCCAGGATTCATATTTAACATGGTGTTTGAAGTAAATATTCCATACAGGCATGTGAAAATGTCTCTGTTTAAGGAAGAGCCAATGCATGATGAGTATAAATCTGTTTTAGAGTCGTACAGCTGTTAAAAAATACATTTTAAACATTGAATAAAAATTATCACTTATAAATATTGTTTCGGTTATCCGAGGGGTTAATATTATCAACACAATGTAAAGAGCAGTTATAACCACTAGCTGTCAGTAAGTATGTCAACAGAGGAAGAAGCAGGTTTCTGGCTTTTTTTTCCCCCAAGTGGTAATATGCACAAATATATATATATATATATATATATCAATTTGGTATATTGGCAAACTTCAATATATAAATAAATATATATATATATATATATATATATCAATTTGGTATATTGGCAAACTTCACACAGTGTTAATAGTCACAAACTTGAAAAATCACAATGTCATCATAAAGCCAAAACTGTTCTCCTCTGTTTTAACCCTCTAATACCAAATGCCAAGACACTTTTTAGATTTGAAATGTGAGAATCTCACTAAATCTGTGCCATTTTACAATCACTATGAATTATTTTGATTTTATTATTCTGTTTCTTTGCCTGTGATGCCTGTTGTCTGTTGTTTACAGATGAATAGATGTGCCTTATCAGAACGGGTAAAAAAAAGTCAAAGAAATCATATTCTGTGATGTATCTTTTTGTATATTGAGATTGTGTTTTTCTCACTCTTACACAAAATGAAATAAAGTTGAATTCAATGTTCAGTTATTTGCCTAAAATGCTGTTGTTTTTGTTTTTCACATGTTTTGAACAGGGTTTCTGTGATCATGTAAAATATTGGAATTTTAAAACTGCTATTTTCAGACCTGTTTTTGTAGCTCATAAAAATATTCTATCAACTAGAAACTGTTTTGGAAAAGCAAACTCGATATGATTATATTAAACAATATTTTATTTAATAATATGAATACCTGAATGACTGGAAATGTCATGGAATTTCATTGGTCAAAAGCTCAAAACATCAACTTAATTTGTGCTTTTGTTTTAGTATTAGTTACCATATATACTATCGTCAAAAGTTGGATTAATTAGGATTTTTTTGAATGATTTCTGAAAGATCATGTGACACTGAAGACTGGAGTAATGATGCTGAAAATTCCACTTTCATCACAGCAATAAGTTACATTTTAACATATATTCAAATAGAAAATGGTTATTTTAAATTTGAATAGTTTTTCATAATTTTACAGTATTTTTGGTCAAATAAATGCAGCATCGGTGACTATATACGAGACTTCTTTCAAAAACATTCAAATGTAATTATTACAAACTTTTGACTGGTAATGCATATTGGAACTGTTGGTAAAAATAGTTTTCCGTGTTTTTATAAATGCTTTAGGTAGTAATGAATATGGCAGACTTGCACGTCTCTGTAACTGTACCACACTAGACTCGTGATATCAGAGGCGTTCAGGAGAAATCAGCTTGTCATCTCCAGGTTGCACTGCTGTAAAATTCATCTCAAATCAAACGGCCTGGAAAGCGGTGACCTTTTCATCAGTAATACAGACGGTCACTGGTGAAATACTGGCTGCTCATTTGCATTTAGAGTTTGATTGCTGTGCGGCTTTTCTCTTTTTGTGCATCTCTTGCCTGTCTAAGGAATGTTTTCTATATAAGATGCTGTGTTTTAGTATGTTCTTTATGTGTGTGTGTGTGACCTGTCATGCTCTCTGCCCCCCTGCGGAGTCTCCTCCTCCTCCCTCCTGTCACTCGGGACGTCCCGTGTCTGTCCTGAAGCCCCTCCCTCCCTCCCTCCGCTGTGAGGATCAGTGGCTGTGAATGAGAGAGTCACAGTCATCGGGTGTCTCACACGAGCCCGTCCTCCTCATCCACACTCATTCTTCTTCTGACGCACCTGTGTGGATCCTCTCAGCTCACCTGAAACCCACAGAACACAGACTTTCCTGAACTGAGGTGAGCATCCATCTATCTATCTATCTATCTATCTATTTATCTAGCTAGCTAGCATTATATCAATCAATTTATCTATTTTATCATTTACAATGTATGTGCAGTTTTATAATTTTATTTATATTTTTTGTCTTGTGTATTACTATTTTTACTAATTATTTTAAAATGTGTATCAATTAGAGTAAAATAAGGTAAAAATAATAAAAATCTCCCTTTCAAAGGAGCACTGATGATGATAGTAGCAGACACTACAGTAAATACCATGGTACTGGATAATTACCATATTTTTATATTGTGGTATTTAAAGAGTACTCCTTGGAGTACTCTTTATAGAATAAAACCATGGTAATTCTTTTTTTTTTAGTACCAGTATTATTGAGATAGTAATGTAGTTTAATTAATATTTTGAATTAGGTTTTATTTTTCTATTTTCCATTTTAATTTTAAAGTTTTACATGTTTTTTAGTTTTAGTTTTTTATTTATTTTTTAAATGTCTGTACAGTTAGTATAAATGTTATTTTAGTTATATATACAAATAAATAAATATATATATATAAATTTCATTTAATGTTTGTTTTTTTTTCCAAGTAACAAAAATTTAAATATTTTTTTTATTTATTTTTTAATGGATTTAGTTTTGGTCAACTAAAAACTAAAATAAGTTAGTGGATATATTCCAGTAAATCTGTAAATAACATGATATAGTGATTACATTTTACTAATAATGTCCAGCTAAGTTCACACATTTTTCACAGAAAGCTGCATTATTCCCAAAGCATCGAGTTCTTGGCCTTTACACACCGTTTTCTATCAGATGTATATTAGATATATGAGTTTAGATGAGCTGTGTTCGGTGTAATTGGAGTGTTTTGTCTGATGAATGCTAAATTACAGTATCTTGTCAAGGACGAGATGCAGATGGTGAGCTTTGCATGTTTTTCTTGCATTTCAGCATTTAGTTTGTCCTCTGGCTAGTCAGATTTTGCTTTCTAACTGAGTTTATTTTGCCAAAAAGTGACAGTAACATCTAATTAATAATGCACTGATATTTGAAGCCAGTATGACTATAGGAATCCACTTTTTGCAGTGAAAGAGTGTTCTTTGAGGTTAATCTACCAGTCTGAAAAACCTCATCAATTAACTGGTTAAAAACATTAACAGTGAAAGATAAATCTACAGATTGGCTGTGGATTACATATAGTACTTTATCTGTATTTTGGGCTGCTTGAATCTGTGCTGTCATTGGTCAGGACAGGAATCAGATCGGATCCCTGTGGATTTTGGACTAAGAACTTCTTAATTTGGTCTGATCCGTACTGTACATGTTGATCAAACTTATCCTTCACCCGAAACAAGAGGGCCTGCATCTCAATTTTTTTAATGTCAATGACAGTAAGATTAATTTTAGAGGGCGCTTTAAACATATTTTGGCACTTTCAGCTTTTATGCATCAGCCATTACATGTGGACATCAAAGTTTGAAATGATTGATTGATTGATTTTGTTTTTTTTGGACATATGTAAAATGTCAAATGACATTTATTTATTTATTAATATTTTGATATGATTTAATATTGATGATAGTATTATTTTTTATATTTTTAGATATTTTTTTAACGTATAAATACTGTGGTTCATGAATATGGTCATCATTCAGTACTATGGTACCATGATATTTGATACCATGGTATCACCACAGTACTTTTGTGAGGGAAATTTGAAGAAATGTGTTGCTCTTCAACACACAGACTAATTTAACTTCAACACACACACTAATATTTATTAGTCTGTTTAACCTCTATCCCGGCTCTCCTTCCTGTCCCTTGCATCCAGACTGTGCAGTCTTTATTCCCAGACGTCAACTGGTTTAATTAGAGCGTAAAATATTAATGTCCATGTGCATGGCACTCTATTCAGCACATTCATTCTGCTCGCCCTGCGTGTCCGGACCAGATTAACCAGCTAAAACTACACCAGAGGTTTGGAGCAGAGTTATTCTAGTTAACAAAACTAAAACCATAAAAAATTAGATATAAGATAAAAAAAATAAAAAATAAAATAAATCAAACTTATTTTTTTTAATTTGTTTTTATTTGTCAAGGAAACATTTCTGATTTTCATTTAGTTTAACTTGATGTATTAAAATTACTAAAACTAAAACTGAAATAAAAATTAATAAAACTGAAATAAATAATAAAAATGACAAAAACTAAAATTAAAATGAATTTAGAAAGTGTAAAATTACAAATATTTAAAATATTAATAAAAACCATAATGGTATCTCAGTGACACTAAAATAACACAATGCACAAATATACACACCTGCTTGAGTTCACATCTGCTTCAGAAGGAATTTGAAAAGAAATATTATAAAATTCTTGTAGTGTCTTGGTAAAGATATCTGAAGGAGCTTCTGTTTCTCAGGAGGTCATAGGTCAGCTGTTGTCAAAGGGAAGTTAAATAGAGGAAATGTGAGGCAGGTCGTTCACGGCTGAATAATTTAGCATGGGAATGTTTATTGCTTCTATTGTCTTGTTTTCTTTGCTTGTTTTCTTTTTATGCACATTAATCTGCAGCTGGTGTTTTTGCTGTTGTTATAGTTTGTTTCTGTGGAACAGGATCAGCAATGGTGTCTGTGTTCAGTGTTGTGTGTCCCATTGAATAACAGTCATTATATCAGCATGACTGCAGTCAATGATGAAACACGGACCAGACCTGAGAGTCTAGTACAGAATGACTGTGTGCGTGCGTGCGTGCGTGTGTGTGTGTGGTTGCGTGTGTGTGAATAATTTCTTAATTTTTTTTAAGTGTACATACGTTTAATGAAGACATATTAATCACAATAGAATAGAATAGAATAGAATAGAATAGAAAAATTATATATATATATATAGTCTAAATTTTAGAGTAACTTTGACATATGAACATACAGTGCATTGCTAGAGAAAACAAGCATTTTTGTGTAATTGGAAGTTTGGCTGAAAAGATAAAGACCATAACATCTTCTGTGTGACAACTAGCCCCGGTCCCCCCGTTTATAGGATTACTTGCAGTATGTCTGCTCAAACACAGAGTGTTAAATGTTTGGTTTGCTCTAAACTCTTCCGCGTCCATCACGTCCAGTTTACTTGTTGTTTTTGCTGGGTTATTGAAGGTTATTTTGTAAGTTTGCTGGTCCATTGGCTCTGATGAACACCGAACACAGAGCTGCTCTCATCTGGCTTTCTGTGACTCTAATCGCTGCTGACAGGCCCTCATTTTCAGGAGCGGGATGTGGTCATTCACGGGCTCATAGATTCACAGGGGTACGAGGATCCGGCTCTGTCTGTCACAGAGGAACAAGCGCTGGGGTGATTTCTGTCCTGTTAAAGAGCGCAGACTGAAGCGAGAGGTTAGCTGTAACTGGCCAGTGGGTTTGAGATGAAGGGAGCCAGAGCACAGGGACGGGATGTGAAAACACGCAAACTGAGTTACAGGTATCCCACATTAGTACAGGTAAGGCCGGGCTTTAAAGATTTCAATGCTTGAGTTGCAAATAGGACATTTAATTTGCTGAGGGTGTTTGTGGCACACAAAGAGATGCACGAATGAATTATTTCATAATAGTGGGATTGCCTGTGAGTGAGAAACTGTAAAAGGTGAAAGTTTTCCAGGTGATATTTCACCAACAAATAAAAATAAAAATTATATTTTGCATGAAGAAAAATTAAGCCTGTTTTTTTGTAACATAATTTAATGAAAGTTATGCACATTTACCTGTAACTCTTATTGCTGTAATGTGAAAAAATACATTTAAATTGTAAAATTTTTAATACACCAAAGTAGTATTTCTTGTACTGGCTTTAATTTTTCTTTAAAAAAATCACGTAATTTAAACAATATAATTTAATTACCATTAAAAAGCCAAAACAACAACAATAATAATAATAAACTCATGAAAAAAGCATGAGATGAGAATGAGAATTTAGGTGAACAATGTGCGTAATTGCTGTCAAAATAATGTCACAATGCATTAAATATGAATGGTTTATTAATAGGCTTTACTTTATGCAAAATATAATTATTATGGTTTTAAATTTTTTTTTTACTTTTGATATTGGACAGGTTGTATTTTTTTTTACCAGTGTTATTTTAGTATTACCTTATACTACTATTCATATTTTGAATTTTATATATATATATATATATATCTTTCTTTCTTTCTTTCTTTCTTTCTTTCTTTCTTTCTTTCTTTCTTTCTTTCTTTCTTTCTTTCTTTCTTTCTTTCTTTCTTTCTTTCTTTCTTTCTTTCTTTCTTTCTTTCTTTCCATCCATCCATCCATCCTTCTTTCTTTCTTTCTTTCTTTCTTTCTTTCTTTCTTTCTTTCTTTCTTTCTTTCTTTCGTCCGTCCGTCCTTCGTTCGTTCGTTCGTTCGTTCGTTCCGTCTGTCCGTCATCCATCCATCCATCCATCTTTCTTTCTTTCTTTCTTTCTTCCATCCATCCATCCATCCTTCTTTCTTTCTTTCGTCCTTTCTTTCTTTCTTTCTTTCTTTCTTTCTTCCATCCATCCATCCATCCTCTTTCTTTCTTTCTTTCTTTCTTTCCTTCCTTCTTTCCTTCCTTCCTTCCTTCCTTCCTTCCTTCACTGTATTTTTCAATTATTTATTCATTTTTTAAATATATACAACTACATTTACTAATAATATTATTAACATTTTACTAAAAGTGTTAGTAATTTTGTTTGGTGCTTTTTTCATTTTTCATTTTTTTTATTCTATTTTTTTTAATACAAAAAAAAAAACAACCACCAAGCAATGGGACATGCTAACAAGTTTTGCACTCCCAGAAAATATAAAAAATCTAGTTTAACTTTATGCTTTCTTTCTTTCTTTCTTTCTTTCTTTCTTTCTTTCTTTCTTTCTTTCTTTCTTTCTTTCTTTCCTTCCTTCTTTCCTTCCTTCCTTCCTTCCTTCACTGTATTTTTCAATTATTTATTCATTTTTTAAATATATACAACTACATTTACTAATAATATTATTAACATTTTACTAAAAGTGTTAGTAATTTTGTTTGGTGCTTTTTTCATTTTTCATTTTTTTTATTCTATTTTTTTTAATACAAAAAAAAAACCAACCACCAAGCAATGGGACATGCTAACAAGTTTTGCACTCCCAGAAAATATAAAAAAATCTAGTTTAACTTTATGTACTGGATAGACTCATTTCTAAATGTTTTTAACTCGCCTCAAATCACAAATTCAGAATATTTCCTTTTTGCAAAGCGCATGCATGCAATATTAGAACATATGACCAGTTGTTGCCAAAAGGGGGAGATCTTACATGTAGACATGAGCTCACATGAACTCAATGGAGTTTGATCAACATTATCAATAAGTTAGGAAATTTATGCTACTTGGTTTAATTGTTTTTGATTGGTTGTTTTAAAGTGCTGCGTTTATTTCCGTGTACTGCCGCTCACTAATATCTCTCAGATTAGGTTGCAGAGTGTTTTATGACACACATCCATGTACTGTATTTTCTCCCTCTCCATTACACCTATAGCAGTAACTGTAGTACGGCAGTATTGTGTGTGGTGATAATGCGTCTATATAACTAACGCAAACGTCACTCGTGTTGTTACTGCACGTCGAGCTGATCGTTCGCACTTGCTGAATAATTTACCTGCACTGAGTCTCAGTCTCACACTCCTTTGCGGCTAGAAATGTCCACTGCTATCTGTTTTCATCTCGTTTTGAACTGAATCACCATTGGCTCAATAGAAGAAGCACTCATATCTATAGCAGGGGTATTAAATTAGAGCTCCAGTTTCTAAATGATCTGAACAATCGTAGCTTTGTTTCAGGAGTCTGTTTGTTGTGTTGCAATGACATTTGAGGCACATTCGGTGCAGTTTTTTCAAGTTGGCAGCCTTAATACCTTCTAGTCAAAATAGTCTCCCAGAGACTGTCCATTATAGAATCACGAATGATTAAAAACATACTTGTTTGAGTGCTGAAAATCTAAACGCATTATGTAAACCTGGCTGACTGAACGATTCATTGAGCTGATTTATTATTTTCTGTGATTGTGATTCATGTGTGAATACATAGACACTACTGTTCAAATGTTTGGTGTTGGTAAATTTTATAATGTTTTTGAAAGAAGTCTCTTATGCTCACCAAGTGTGCATTTAAATGTTTCCTCAAAAATACAGTAAAATTATGAAATATTATTACAATTTAAAATCTCTGTTTTCTATGTTAATGTTCTGTAAAATGTAATTTATTTCTGTGATGCGCAGCTAAATTTCCAGCATCATTACTCCAGTCTTCAGTGTCACATGATCTTCAGAAATCATTCTAATATGCTAATTTGCTGCTCAAGAAACATTTCTGATTATTATCAATGCTGGAAACAGTTGTGTTGTTTCATATTTTTGTGGAAACCGTGATACATTTTATTTTTCAGGATTCTTTGATCAATAGAAAGTTCGAAAGAACAGCATTTATTTCACATTTAAATCTTTTGGAACATCATAAATGTCTTTACTGTCACTTTTGATCAAATGAATGCATCCCTGCTGAATAAAAGTATTAATTTCTTTCAAAAACAAAAACATTACTGACCCCAAACTTTTTTTGTTGTACCACTTCTGAATGAAATTTTTATTTATTATTATTATAATTATTATTATATGACAATATAAGAGAAATTGTTTGCAGTCTGATAGGAACTGATATTGTTTGGTGACCTTTGACCTAAAGCATCTTAGTTTCTGCACACCACACTTAGAAGTCTTGCTTTTTAATGAATGCTTAAGCACATTTCTTTCCCATAGTGCTCTTGTTTTATCCTCTGATAGTCTGTTATGAGGTTTGATAATGAAAGACAGTGAGAAGGAGGAGTGAGCGAACAATGCAGTTGTTGTCTTGGCATGAATTATTCATCTGTGTGTCGTTGCTAGGATTGTATCAGCGGCGCTGGCTGGCAATGTGGCCTTCTCAGACGTGACAGCTGCGGCCAAACGGTGTTGGGTTCTCCCTCTACCTGGATTGATTTGCCTTTGGGGATATTTAGTTAATTAAAAAGCTCCATATTATCAGGGGATCCACCTCCACACCCAATGCCCTGACCAACCCTTCCAGACGCTAATGCACACCATATACACCAGCAGGAGTAAAGGGGACATAGTACGGTCAGGGCTGATAAAAACGAACCTAAAGAGCAAGAAAGTGCAAGCAAAGGAACGGAGCAATAAATACAGAGAGGAATGATCCAGCTTTGGGCCTCAGATTTGTTTTTTTAAGGAGGTTTGTGTGTTTCAGGACGTCGTGCAGACAACTGTTTTTGTTGCTACTATTATTTTTATCCCACTGGCGGACTGGAAGGAAACGGTTTCTGTGAAATCCTGGGTCTCTGGAGGGCTGGACGGAGGGTTTTGATGCTGAGGAAGCGAGCGTGTGGATGTGTGTGTGTTTGAGGGTGTATATCAGACGCTCTCGGGCTGGAGTTTTAGGGTTTGATCTGGTGAGGATGTACAAGCGTCGGGATTACGTCGAACTCTACGAGAAGGATCAGGCAAAGTGGGCCTTACTACGAAATGTCAACACTGTGGTCAAACACACCACTCTGTTACCGGTACAACGTGTGTGTGTGTGTGTGTGTGTGTGTGTGTGTGTGTGTGTACAGGTATATATGGTTTATGAGGACACAAATGTGTATAATGACATGGGTACTACAACGTAAACATGGTTTATGAGGACAC